GGAGTCCAGTATCAGGTGACTTGATCACATGACCCTGCAGCCATAACTCAGAGGCTGTTTGCAGCGTTCCCAGGAAGCCTTTCCCGGTGAGAGATTAGCATCTTCTATGACCTATTGTTTTTCCTAGTGGCCATTTCCAGCCATCAATCTAGACTGATTTCATTCTGTCTAGTGACCATTTCCCAGGTGTAAACATATTTGTAATAGGTGCATCGATAACATTTCTAACTTCAGATATAAAAATGACACATGCATATAAATATGATAATCATATTCAGTAAATCATAACCTTTCCAGTGATATCTCAGGTGCCTTATCTTGCACAAAATATATCATCATTATGCCATACTCATATCATAATAATATTACTATGAAGAATATGGGGCGTAATGCCACAGGCATTAGACTTTGTCCTATAGTGGTCACGTACCCTTTTCCCTGAGTGTTCTGCAATATCTGCAAAGGCAGACTGCAAGTATGTGTTAAGGATGTGCCGGAACATTGCTCAAAGAGGTCAGAGTTAAGGTTGTTTTGGAGTATACCTTAACTCTGTATTTCCTGGTTTTCAGAGGTTTGAATTTTGCTGAATTTGACATTCTGGATGGCCATAAGATACTACCCGGCAACCTGAGCTCTGCATTAACAACAAATTACAAGACAATCTGAGTAGATGTGCAGATTTTAGAGCACGTAAGAAAGTCAGTCTTTAAACAGAGAGGTTTTCTTAACTGTAATTATAGCAGAGTGCCAGAAACATCCCATTGTCTTCAAGAGGAGTTGGATTGAGCCCCTTGCCAGGTTCTAGTCATTTTGTGCCCAAACCTGCAATGTGTTGGTTTCATTTCTCACTTATTTCAGTTGCGGTTGAGGGCACTCAGCTGTTGTGTGTTCTCAGCTCATTGCAAGACCAATCCCTTACCTGCAGTAGCAGAAGCCTTCCAAAGAATTACTAAATGCATTGAAGTATGGTGATTTTAAACTAGGTTGTTCAAATTTTGTAAGGGTATGAACCGAACAAATCGGAGAATCATTTCTAATTAAATATTTTAAGTTAAAAACTTTGGAAATGTTTGACGTAAATGTAATGAGATAAGTAAGTGCTTTAAGTAGGGCTGTACCCTAAAAAGTGATTCTGTTAAATTAGTGTGTGAGGCTCTATATTCGCTAAGTTATGCATCATCATCAGATGAACTCTTTTCTAGCAAAGTTATGCCATCTGAAAAAATTTAGTTAGTTGCCAGAAACTTTATCATTACCAGCTTTGCACTTAAAAACCTTTCAATAAGTGAAAAATGTTAATGCTTGTGTGCTGGCATTTCATCATTACTCTGTTTTACATTTTAAAAAGGCACCAGATTAATTCCTTTACATGTAGAGTTTTTCATGCCATTAATTTTGTGTGTGGCATTTATTAGTTATATAAATAACTATACAACACACTATATGCTTGGGGGGTGAAGGGGTCTATGCCAAGCAAATAACAGGCACTTTGCCCTGTCCAGTGATGCAAACTAGTACAGTATAGAACAATAAAATAATGAGGACTGAGTAGTGGGGATTATTGTGATTGGAGCACATCACAGGATAGAGGGGTTTAACGAGATTTTTAGAGGAGGAAGGTTGGCATACCTTAGTGGGAAGGCCATTCTGGGGGCACACCCAAAGTCACGAATGACTAAATGAGTGAGATATAAAGGGAATGTAGAAGTAAACCTTAGAGGGAGTGTATTGGAGAAGATAAGGGCAGAGAGATAGGCAAGATCCATTGTAAGCTAATTGTAATGTGAACAATAAATATGTCACGCTATATTAATGTATTACAGAATTAATATTTACATTACTGGAAATCCCAGCATATACACACGCTATGTTAGTCACTGATGTCTAGGGGAAAAGTGGAGAAAAATTCTGCTGATAAACTTTTTTTTTTTTTTTATTACGGAGGATGTTTGGATGAAAAAGGCCTTTTGTTTGAGTTCATGTGTAGCTGCTGCTTATTCCTCACCTGAAATCCTTTTTCTCGGTTTGTTGTGGAAAGAAATAATCTTTACTGAAATTATTTGTTGTGTAATAAACCGGGTTCTGAATTTGGGTAACAAATAAACAGCAGGTGCAGATGAACTTTTAAAGATCCTGTTTTCCCTATGAAAATTTTCTAGTAATATAAAGAGGAGGGGAGAAAAAAAACGTGAAATTTGTACTAGAGATGCTCCCCCACTAATTAGGCCACCTTCTTTCTCCCGACTGTTGCAGAGTATCCACAAACACTGACCCTAATTCAAGAAAGCAGTTATGAACATGTTTAAGTCTATTTTTATTCAGGAGAGTGCTCAAGAGTGTACTTAAGCATTCTCCTGAATATGAATAGGGATGTATTTTTGAACTGGGAGCACGTTGAGTACAGTTCTGCCCCCTTTCATTAAAAGACTACCTCCACGAAGAAGCCAATTACCATCAGTCACTTGGGTAGTCACTTAAAACAGGTTTCACTGTATAGCAGCAGCATTATGTGGAAAGTAGGATGTCTTTCTGAATATTCCCTTGGGGTGTCAACAGGGCTATAAAATGGCAGAAACATTCCTGTGGTTGACCTTGAAAGAGCATGCTGAGGCAACAGTAAAGAGGGAGATAGTTGTTAAAACTTAGTTTTATAAAATAAAATAATCAAATTAAGAAATTCCCATATTCCTTAAAGTTAATTTGTTTTGTGCTGTGTTTATGGAGCCAAAACCCACCAATTTGTGTAGCAAAACAAGGAAGCTAAGACACATATTTGTCATGTTTGTGTCCAGAGAGCTGGATGAATACAGCCATTCATGCTTCTTAAAAATTGATTTTTGATCCCATTTATTCTTCTCACACCCAATAGTGGCTGCCTGACAGACAAGTTCCTTAGAGCAGTGTTTTTCAAACCGTGGGTCGCGGCATGCAAGGCGCTGGGTTGCCTTGCTCTGGTCAGCACCTCCAACTGGGACGTTAAAAGTCCCGTCGGCGGTGCTGCCCAGCTAAGGTAGGCTAGTGCCTACCTTTTCCAACACCACGCTGTGCCCCGGAAGCGGCCAGCAGCGGGTCCGTCTTCTAGGTGGAGGGCCACGGGGCTCCGCGCGCTGCCCCCACCCCAAGCACCGCCTGGTACATATCAATTTCTTTGTTAAATTGACGAACTTGTATAAGCTTGCAACGTCCAGTGGGCATAACTGGACACTACAAGATGGAGGTTCCTAGGACCAGAGGTATTGGCTAGTGTCATTCGCTTGCAAGTAGCTGGGAGGAGCTTACATGCCAGAGGCTGTGGGTGAACAGCCCAGGAGTGGGGTTTCTCACAGCAGAGCAGGGTAAGTCTGGCTCCCAGAGTCAAGGATTGGAGTGGCCTAGCAGATCACTAGTCCAGACAACGCCAGAGGGGAACATCACAGAGGGCATCAACAATTTTCTTCAACTGGGTCCCCAGAAAAAAAAAGTTTGAAAACCACTGCCTTAGAGAGACAAGGTGGGCGAGATAATATCTTTTACTGGACCAGCTTCAGTTGGTGAGAGAGACAAGCTTTCGAGTTTACACCGAGCTCTTTTTCAGATATGTTCATTGTTACATTTCCTCTTCACTTTGAAATCTTCTGAGGAAAAACATATATTCTTAGTTTGTTGAAATGGAAGCTAATTAGACCAAAGTGTCACTCACGTTTCATCTCATTATTAAGCATTTAGGCTTCAGAAGAGTTTCAACTTCTGTGTTTTTTCTTGTAATAGTCATGTATGTGAGTTCAAGATAAGAGATAATCCTGATATTAAAGTGGTTACTTGACAATCTTTGTGCTGTTCTAGTAGATTTCAAAGCAAAACCAAGATATTTTCATGCCCTTGTGTCATGGGGAGGAACAGCATATTAATTCTGAATGAATTACAGGAGGCAAAGACTCTCTGCAAAACCAGTTTTATGAAACATTTTGAATGTTATACTGTAGTTTAGTTTTCCTGCAATAAATTCCCATACCAGCGAAGCACTTAAGCTTGTGGTTTGCTTTAAATGCATGAGTAGTCCCATTGAAATCATCTACACACTCTGCTGTCTTCATTGATATCAAACATTAGGCAGTTAATTATTTTTTTCTTCGGCAATTGCTCATACTCTTTCCTGGTCAAATGTCTGTTGTAACTTTTATTTATAAAAGACATAAATTCCTTCCCCTTTTTCTCCTTGTTTCGAAGCTTATTCTTGTTTTCTATTACTTAAATTTTTTTGCCAATGGCTTGCATAATCTAAATATTTTGCATCAAACTCTACTTTTGTTTGTTTACTTCTCCTAGTTAAATTTTCAAACTTGAAAATATAGTTTTAATGACCTTCCATTTAATTATTTGGTTCAGTACATTTTAGCATTTACACAAACAGAAATGAATGCAACATCTTGCTAAGTAGTAGTAAGTAGAGCTGCCTCAAGGACATGTCAAAAAGGCCCCCTATCTTTTACAGTTCATTTCTTAGGACTACATTCAATATGGCTGCTGTTCTTATTAGTCACACAATAGTGTGTAAAATAAACAGACCTGTGGAAGATTAATTCTCTTCTCCTCGCGCATTCTTCTCTCCTTCAGATTTCACTCGGTGACATGGTAATTGACATTACAAAAAGCCACGTTATTGTTTTTTGTTAACTCCTTGCTTGGAGGTAGAACACAAGTGATTCAGAGCTGATACATGCAATTAAATTGTCTTGGCTATAGCACAGAGCAAGTTTTAAATGTATGAACTCTTTTCTTAATAAGTATATACTTCAAAGGTAAAGGATTTATGTAAATGGTTAAAGGATTCCTTTAGACATCTATTTCTCTGCAGTTCCTTGCCCCCACCAAGTTGTTACTTGTACTTAAATTATATGTTCCCAGTTACAATATCTATTTAATCTTATGCAGGTCACCTTGTTTTAGACCTTCAATGCAAATATGAGGTTGGATTGCTTTTTCTTTTTATTCATGTCTCAATATTTCCTTTTGACTGATAGGAATGTGAAGACTCAAGCAAAATGGATCCGTCAGTGGTGGCAAGATCCATGGTAGCCTTCGTGGAGGGGATGACATGCAATTCTTGTGTTCAGACCATTGAAGAACACATTGGGAAAATGAATGGAATTCACAATATCAGAGTAAGTAACTCTACCAAAGTCTCCTACATGATATGGTTCTAATGGGAGAAGCCATAATAACGATTGATCTGAAATATGCAGCAGAAGAGGAAAGGACTTAAAAAGTACATAGTCATTTTATTACCTGTGGATCTGCTGTTTAGAGTGGCTTTGGCATATTTCCAGTGCCAGAGAAATACTTTTCCTGCAATTGATAACAATTCATTTCATGTTTTTTCTAAAGCACCTTTTCTCTCATACTTAACCAAGTTCAGCAATGTAATGTATAGAAAGCAGAGGAGAGAAAATTATGTAGAGTCCAAAAGAAGAGAGCAGATAGAGGTCAAACGACAGGAAAAGTGGTGGTGGTCCACTTTTAATCCCAGTATAATAGTAGTAATAACACTTAGCTCCTACGTAGGGCTTTCCATTAGATATCTCATAGCACCTTTACAAAGGAGGTAAGCATCATTATTCTTATTTTACAGAGGGGGGGAAACTGAGGCACAGACGTGAAGTCACTTGCCCTAGGTCTCCTAAATCACAGTCCAGTGTTCTGTTCCGTTGCCTTCCTGTGTCTGTTTTACCCTAAACCTCTTCAGGTCTTTTCTTCCAGACTGGCTATGTAGTGAGGCAGCTTGGATAGCCTGTGAAAGGAGGGTGTGCCTTGAGTTGCTCAGTAAATCCCAAACTAATTAACTATGGTGCCTTTCACCAGGCAAAGGAATGTCACTATGATGTGGAATTTGAGAGTGGGGATGGAGAGTAATGCAAGGGAAAGGTGAGATTCTTGGTGTCCCTGCCAGGCATTCAGAATTCCCTTTCCTTTTTACTGTGTTTATATGGGAATGGGAGGTGGTATTAGTTGCATCGTGATCTTTTAAGGGGAAAAAGTAGTTCTCCTTCTTCTTCTTTATTAATTTAACTATTGCTATACAAAAGTGTTTTTAAAAGAGGTTGAGCTTTTAGCAGAAATATTTGATCTACTTTTAATCAAAACTTAATATCTTCAGAGTTTCTGGCTCAAACAAGAAATCCAGCTTTTGTAACCTGGGCTATTCTGGGAAAAAAAAGCAAGAATCTGTCTATCTTGAAACAAAACTCACTGGGGAATATTTTTAACATGTAAGCTGTTCTGTTCTAACCAATACATCCATTTTACAATATGTTTACAAATAAAGCAATTTAACACTTTATTGATCCATTCTAGTCTTGTGACCTGTTGTTTGGTGCCAGAAGGCATATTTAATCCTACCAATTACAGCAGCAGTGTGCTGTTAATCCTAACTGCTTGGTGCATAGGTGAAGTTTTCCCCTGCAAATTGAGGCTTTAACATTCTGTGGCAGTTAAATAATCCTGCATAAAACAATGTACCCCTGCTTTCTGCAGGGAGGTATTTCCATCTTAATAGATGTGGTCTAGACAAACATTGGGCTTGCTAAAACAGTGGAGCCTGTTTTTTGGCATGTGGTCACTGTAACTAGCTGTGATGTGCAGCTGCTTACCAGAGAATATGGTGGAGCCAGCTAGTACAAGTTACTTCTGCCTAAACTAGGAGTTGGTGCTGGCTACAGAGATCTGTGAACAACAGTGATATTTACACTAGATCCTACTTTTGATCTGCATTGGTGACTTAACAGAATTTGAACTTGATTGATTCTGGTAACAAAGAACAGATCTGCTGGCAAAATCAATAGTTCATTGTTTTTAGCAAGGGAGATATACTTTAATAGTAACATTGAGCACATGTTGCGATCAGACCAATAAATAAACCTCCACTAAAGCTAAGTAAAATGAAGAATCGAAATGAATGAAAAATACTATCTGCAAAATAAAATTATTTTAGTATCTTTCCCTTGGTGCATTTGGAAAATTACCTGAAATGCTTGACATTCTAGAATGTCAACATTTTATAGTTTAAATTGTTCCACCCTCCTCCTGAAAATTTTACACAGAAGCCTGTGCTGGGAATGATTCATGACCTTCCTGAAGATAACATACTCTGTATAGCCCCAATAGTAGCAAGTACACTGTGAAATGGGTGTTTAAAAGAAAGGCATTAACCACTTTGTTTTGAAACAGTGGGATAGAAATATTATTCTAATACACCTCTTGCCAAGTCATATTTGGCAAAAAATATATTGTAGAGACTAAAAGTTTAAGTGGAAGAGGCTTATAATGAAAATCAAGAGGTCGTAGTTAATACTTAGTCCACATTACAGAAACAAAACTTTGAGTTAGGTGGACAGATTTATTCTTCCTTTGGCCCATGTGTAATCTCTGTCAGTAATAAGGCACTGTTGTGTTTAAGGATTATCAGATAGGCCAGCAAAGGAAGCATATGTTGGATGTCTAATGCAGCCACACAGAGCTTTAATTTGGGTTATGTTGTTTTGTAATTGCAAGAAAACCAATAAACTACTGTATCCTTGTTATTGATTCTGCCAAATTGCATAATTGATGACAGAAAAGGAGAAAGGTGGTCATTAAAATGATTAAACTGATGTAATTTGATCACAGCAATGGTCTCCTAGTTGTTTTCTGCCCAAGGAAAAGATAAAATTGGAAGATAATGTGTTGGGCCTGTGACTGGTATTGGTTTGCCCTTTTGGAAATTGAAATAATAATGTTTGATTCCATGCCACTTGGAAGCAAATTAAATTGGGGATATTTGTACTGTGTGACGTGAAAGATTAGGAAGTCTGTGAACCTCTAAAACTTAAAGAAAAAGGATACCTTTTTCTTTAATGGTTCTCATGTTGAATTCTAAAGCTGTGTCTCATTCACTAGATTTTGATCCTTTCTATCCCTACTTCTAAGGCCTGGTCTACACTACAGGGTTAGGTCGAATTTAGCCGCGTTAGGTCGATTTAAAAATGAATGCGTCCACACAACCAACCCCGTTCCGTTGACCTAAAGGGCTTTTAAAATCAACTTCTGTACTCCTCCCCGGCGAGGGGAGTAGCACTAAAATTGACTTTGCTGGGTCGAATTTGGGGTAGTGCAGACACAAATCGACGGTATTGGCCTCCGGGAGCTATCCCAGAGTGCTCCATTGTGACCACTCTGGACAGCACTTTGAACTCTGATGCACTAGCCAGGTACACAGGAAAAGCCCCTGGAACTTTTGAATTTCATTTCCTGTTTGGTCAGCGTGGTGAACTCAACAGCACAGGTGACCATGCAGTCACCCTATCATCTCCGTCCCTGAGGTTATCGCAGATTAGAAGGTGAAAAAAACGCACTCACGTTGAAATTTTTTCCGAACTCATGCAGTCCTCCCACACTGATAGGGCACAGCTTAATTCAGTGACAGAGGCCAGGAAAGAATTAAGTGAGCACGAAGAGCAGAGGCAGGACGCAATGCTGAGGCTAATGGGGAACCAAATGGACATGATGAAGTGTCTGTTGGAGCTGCAGGAAAGCCAACAAGAGCACAGACCCCTGCTGCATCCACTGTATAACCGCCTACCCTCCTCCCCATGTTCCATAGCCTCCTCACCCAGACGCCCAAGAACACGGGGGAGGAGGCTCCGGGCACCCAGCCACTCCACTCCAGAGGATGGCCCAAGCAACAGAAGGCTGTCATTCAAACAGTTTGATTTTTAGTGTGGCTACAATAAGCAACGTGACCTTGTCCTTCCCTCCTCCCCCACTCCACCCAGGCTACCTTGTCCGTTATCTCTCTTTTTTTTTATTATTAATAAAGAAAGAATGCATGGTTTCAAAACAATAGTTACTTTATTTCGAAGGGGGGAGGGTGGTTGGCTTACAGGGAATTAAAATCAACAAAGCGGGCGGGTTTGCATCAAGGAGAAACACACACAACTGTCACACCGAAGCCTGGCTAGTCATGAAACTGGTTTTCAAAGCCTCTCTGATGCAACAGCAGTGGTGACGGTGAGCTGAGCGGGCTCCATGCTTGCCGTGGTATGGCGTCTGCACGGGTAATCCAGGAAAAAAGGTGCAAAACGATTGTCTGCCATTGCTTTCACGGAGGGAGGGGCGACTGACGACATGTTCCCAAAACCACCCACGACAGTGTTTTCCCCCATCAGGCATTGGGAGCTTCACACAGAATTCCAATGGGCGACGGAGACTGCGGGAACTGTGGGATAGCTACCCACAGTGCACCGCTCCGTAAGTCGATGCTAGCCACAGTTGTGAGGACGCACTCCGCCGACTTAATGCGGTCATACGCAATCGACTGTATAAAATAGATTTCTAAAAACCGAGTTCTATAAAATCGACCTAATTTCATAGTGTAGACATACCCTTAGATGCTAGTCCATGCTCTGGTGGTATCGCACCTCCAAGTACTGAAGTCTTCTCTCCAGTTTGTCTCCTTCTCCCTTATATCTCAAATGTTGCTACTAACAACACGTTCTGCTCTGTCCATTTCTTTAATACACAACACAGCTCTTGGCTATTTGCATTGATCTTTCCTCCTTTTCCTCATAAAATTGAAACTTTTCCTGACTTTTAAAACTCTGTCTGCCACATCCACCATTCCTACTTTATGGCCTTCTGCATCCCTGTGCTCCACCTAAACTTATCTCCTAACCATTCCCCTTTATCTATGTCCTCTCATTCACAATGCTTCTAAAACCCACCTGTTCTGCAAAGCATTTCAGCTATAAAGATATACTATTCTGTATTGCATTAATTTATGCCTTTGGATTGCAAGCTGTGACCGGGGTTCTAGTGGTCACTCAATTAGGGTGAACTGCAAAGAATGTGGCAGATAATCCCCATAAAGCTGGTGGATATTCCAATACTTAGATTTACCAAACCGGCATAAAACAGCTTCTTTATTACCTCACTGGTTACTCAGGAGTCCAAACAACACAGTTCTCTTAAAGTGATCCAGCCTCAGGCCTCCATCCAGGTACCCACATCAAATATGATGAAAATTTCTGTAAATCTTATTTCATCATATAAAAGAAAAGGTTCTACCAATCCCAAAGGATCGGACACATTACCTCCCAGGTTAATGAATGTTTCAGATCTTACCCAAATA